GTAGTAATATTGTGACCACTGGCTACTGATTTAACCAAAAACTGTAATGAAGATAGAGAAAGTACAAGAAAACGAAATCTTCAAATACCATAACACAAATTCAAGAAATAATATCTAAGGAGGAGATAATATTAAGAAATAATCAGTGTAAGTATATTGTTATGAAATGCAAAGCTACCGACAGTGGTTCCATTCAAATTTGTTGAGGGTGTATCATATATTAAGTGTTACAGGAGCAATCACTAGAAAGGCATATCCTCCCTTATAAACCAAGAAATTGACACACTGGCTCGTCATTCAATCAATCGGTTGTAATACTGGTTAATGTATATCAATTAGTTCCCTAAATTTTCTTTTTCAAAAGTAAGCTCTACGCCCAACATGGGGCTTGAACTCACAACCCTGAGATTGAGTCACATGCTCTACCGACTGAGCCAGCCAGGCACCCCAATTCCTAAATTTTTATCAACTCTTTGTAATCCTAAAGAATTGAGTTCCCAGATCCACAAAGCTAAGAACCAGACATTGTAGTACAGTGATAATATTAACACACTGTCACTTGTGAATCCCTGCCCAAGGAGCTAATCGTTCTTTCTCTTGCATCTCTCTTTAAATACCACATATTTTTAAGTACATTATTATCTTTAATAAGACTTACTTAATCTTACAACACAAAAGACAGTGAATGAACTTGAAAATGTACTTTACCACTCTAAAATATCACTTTTTAAATGATATACATTTTAAAAATCTTATTTATAACCAGTATATCCATATAGTTCTTCAGAGGAATTTATTGCAGTGCCCACTGTGACGTTATGTCACAAAACCTGGTCACTGTAGAAGATGATGGAGAAAATAAACTTCCAATTTATTAGACTTGCTTTCTAAGGTATATCTCAAATTACTGAGGACTGAATTGGCTAAAGTATGATGCTAATATTTATAAAATATTCCATATTTCCAATATCACATCTAGCACAGAGCTGGAACATAAGAGCCATGGGGAACCTTAAAGAGCACTGGCTTTGGAGGCAGACATAGCTTGAGTGTGTCAGTTCTACTACTGTAAGCTAAGACCCTGCACCATTATCCTATCTGTAAAACCAGCATAGTAACAGCTACTCTACAGAGTTGTGAAGATTCAAACCATGATCACACCTAAGAGTCGTTTTATGATTTTGTGTTTTATGATTGGCATCTATCATTATTCTGCCTTGAGGGAGACGGATCAGGAAAGAACAAACTTGGGATCAGAAAGGGGTAAGTAAAGATTAGTTCCTGGAAGCAGTGAGTCAGACCACCTGAGTCAGATCCAACTTGTGAGCCCAGATCCAGTATCACCTCTATCATAAAAACTTCCACAATCATCCCAGTGATTATTTATACTTCAAAAACATTCTTAGAAGAATACTGGATGCTTTTATTCCCCCCTAAAAAACAGGCTTCTATTTACTTACATCTTTAATTTAGCTACTAAACAGGGACTCCCCAGGTAGGATATCCCACCCATCTTATTTCTGCAGCATGCTCCGCACCCATCTCAGGAGGGTGGGACACACCCAATAATGTGCAATAAAATGAATCACTCTATACCAGAAATGCATGCCACTAGCCTCCTTTCCCCTACCCACTGTAGGCATTAATAATTGAATCAAGCATTCCTTCTCATTGAACCCCAGATATAGCCTCAGAACCCTTCTCAACACATCACTCCAGGAAACCATTACCAGTAGATCTGAGCTGGCAAACAAGATAAACCCAGTAATCATCCCTTGGTCTGTACTATTCATTTGACTTCATTTAGGCCACCATGGAAAAGAGTAAAGTAATCATGATCATTTATTCACTCATCCAACAAATACTTAGTGAGCCCAGACTCTGTACTGAGTTATATATATATATATATATATACTTTTTTTTTTTTTTTTTTTTTTTACGATAGTCATACAGAGAGAGAGAGAGAGAGAGAGAGGCAGAGACACAGGCAGAGGGAGAAGCAGGCTCCATACACTGGGAGCCTGACATGGGATTCGATCCTGGGTCTCCAGGATCACGCCCTGGGCCAAAGGCAGGCGCCAAACCGCTGCGCCACCCAGGGATCCCTGTACTGAGTTATAAATGTAAAGAACACACCTTCCAGAACTGAAAGTCTGGAGTGAAAAAATGTCCTCTATGTAAAGGTAATGGGAGATTAGGCATGAAGAATCAAGAGCTATGGCGGACCCCTTTGGCCATTTCCCATTTCTCTGTCAATAAAACCTCCAATTTTTTCAGAAACAAAGTGCCCCCATACCTAATGGACTTTGCCCCAACCGCAACATAGACTCATCTACCACACATGGCTATTCTATCCCATTTGCCAGTGAGGGACCTGACTCTGATCCACAAGGGCCAGGGAACTCCTGAGAAAGTTTGTCCTGCTCTTCAAGAAGGAGGTGAGACAGGATCTCATATATCCTGGACTCCGGATATGATAGGGTGAGGGCATGATCCTTGAAACGACTATGGTGAACTTGGACTCGGGAGGAAAACCAGGAAGTTCACAGAGAAGTTGAATTTGAGTCCTAGCATCACTGAACTACTATACTTTCCCATAGTTGCCATGTCTTAGGGCTTCTTATGAAATAAGCTATTTGCCTCCTTGGTTAAGTTTAAAACTGGATATTGTTTTAGTCCGTATGGGTTACTATCACAAAATATCATACACTAGGTGGCTTATAAACAGGGATGTACTTCTCACAGTTCTGGAGGCTGGAAACCCAGGATCAGGGGGCCAGCTCTGTTCCAAGCTGCAGATGGCCACCTTCTTGCTGCGTCCTCACATGGCAGAAGGGGTTAGGGAGTTAGGGAGTGGGGCACCTTTTATTAGGGCACAAATGCCATTCATGAAGCCTCCACCCTCATAGCCCAATCACCTCCCAAAAGTTCTACCTCCTCAGACGGATTATCTCTGGGCATCACAACTTCAACATATGAATTTGGGGACCACACAAACACCTGGACCACAGAAGACATTCTGTTACTTGCAACCAAAATCACCCAACTGACCCAGGGAACAAACACAAGAAGCACTGGATGGCAGGTTGGGAAGATTAAGAGCCTGAACAGACAAAAAGCCAGGTTCATTTCATGGGAGATGAAACTGAAGAAATTCCATTCAGAAGCTGGAATGTCTTTTAATTTATTTGTAACAACTAACTTGGAAACCTAGAGGAAAGCACATAATTAGGAAATTTTGCTTTTTGAGATAGGTACCCTATTGGACTAGTGTTAAGAGCATAACTAGTACAATGGTTAGTGAAAGCTATTTGGCAATACTGGTCAAGAGCCTTAAAAAAATTTTTTTTAACATTTTATTTATTTATTCATGAAAGCCACAGAGGGAGAGGCAGAGACACAGGCAGAGGGAGAACCCTGAGGGGAGCACAATGTGGGACTCGATCCCAGGACTCCGGGATCATGACCTAAGCCAAAGGCAGGCACTCAATCACTGAGCCACCCAGGTGCCCTGAGTCTTAAAAATTTTTATAACCTTTGCCCTGTAACTAGAGTCTGGAATTCTTATTGCACAGAAATAATCCTAAATGCAAACAGGGTTCCAAGCAAAAATACATTCACTGTAAAAAAAATTTTTTTAGTAAAGTTGTAAATACCTAAATGTCCAACAACTATGAAATTAAATCAGTTATACCAAGTGCATATACATGGATATTATGCAATTACTAAAAATAATTTTATGCCATTTTAAAAACATGGAAAAATCATGCTATGGTGTTCAATGAAAAATATATAAAATTATGTATGTGGTATGCTCATAATTTAGGCTAAAATATACATTTAAAAAGACTAGAGAAGATATGCCAATATTTGAACAGCATTTGCTTCTGCTTCTAGGTGGTGCAATTATAAGTGATTGTTTTTCCTGCTTCTCTATATTTTCTGTACTTTTTGAGTTTATGATAATGAGCAAGTATTACTTTGATAATTAAAAATGAGGTGGGGGCATCTTTATACATGATGGGATTTCTAAGCATTCATATTGCTCCCACTCCCTACCATTTCAGAATTTATTTTACCCAACAAAACTAAGTCTTACAGGGCAGCCCGGGTGGCTCACTGGTTTAGTGCCACCTTCAGCCGGGGACCTGATCCTGGAGACCCAGGATCGAGTCCCACGTCGGGCTCCCTGCATGGAGCCTGCTTCCCCCTTTGCCTGTGTCTCTGCCTCTCTCTCTCTCTCTCTCTGTCTCTCATGAATAAATTAACAACAATAAAAAACTAAGTCATATATATTCCCATAGTCCCATGCTAAGGAAAGATGCCTAACTGATCTATCTCAGTATCTACAAATAACCAGTACTAGTTCACTACTGGCCTACTCACAATAAAAGAATATTCAGTAAGTCTAGTTCATTAACTCCTCTTTATTTGTCACTATAACACTGTTTTCTTTGATGCAGAGAAACATTCCATACAAAGGAGCTAAAATGTTCATATGTTAATAGATGCAGTTACAGTACTCTATAGATAATATTTTATATACACACTCATTCACCTAATGGTTACTATCTGAACTCAGGGAGAAGTTACTGATAGAAACCAACCTGGATTACTCTGGCCTGAGCTCAATCATGCAGGACTTTAACTGTTGAACAAACGAAAACTATTAGGATGTCCTGATCCCAGGCCATGAATCCTGTTGTTGACATAAACTCTAGGATTGTGCTGTTATCCCTAGGGTAATTTATTCTGTTGACTGATATCTTAGATCAATAACTAATCGTTGATATTGTGACTAGTGACTCTAGATTTTAATCATTCGGAGGTTGTTTTTTTCTCCAAGGTCATCCTAACCAAAACTGTTAGCTCATCTAAAATTTTATTATTTTAGTTTAAATTATGTTATTTTCAGTTAATTAAAGCTCTACAGGGTCTTCTCATCTTACTTTTTTATTCCCTCAATCTTCATGGGAAGGTTAAAAAGATTAGGATAGAAAGTATTGTATTAACTGAGAGGAAGGTTAGCATTCCTCTTGACAAGGATGGAAGAGACTCTCAGGCCTAACAACACACATATGGTTAAGGCACTACCACCCATTTCGAGGCATCTAACCCTTGTTTTTCAAGTAACAGATAACAGTAGAGAACAAATTGATGGTCACAGAGGGGAGGTGGATGGGGGAATAGGTGAAATAGGTGATGGGGATTAAGGAGTGCACTTGTCATGATGGGCACTGAGTGATGTATGGAAGTGGTCAATTGCTATACTGTACACCTAAAACCAATATTACACTGTATGCTAACTAACTAGAATTTGAATAAAAACTTTTTAAAAAATTAACACTTATAGATTAAAAAAATATATATATAAAACACCACTGACTCTAATGAAAAGAGAGAAGATTAGGATAGTAAGGAATATACTAAGAGGGATACACAACCAAGCCCACACACAAAATATAAACACTGAGCTTTAAAAAAAAAAGACACATTTAGGGGCACCTGGCTGGCTCAGTCAGTGAAGCATAGGACTCTTGATCTCAGGGTTATAAGTTAAAGCCCCACATTGGACATACAGATTACTTAAAAACTAAATCTTTAAAGGAAAAAAAAGACATTTGAAGAAAGCTACTTAGCAATGAAATGCAGCAACAAAGATGAATCCCAAAAGCATTATGTGGAGGTAAAGCAGACAGACACAAAAGAATAAACAGTATCTTATTTCACTTATAGGAAGTCCTAAAACTGACAGAACTAAGACATGAAGATGTAAGTCAGACCAGTGTTTGCCTGGCTTAGGTTGGGGATGGTAGGCAGGACCGACCTGAAAGGGGGACAGGGGCTTTCTAGGGGAGTGGGAATGTTTGCTATTTTTCATGGAAAAGGTAATGAAACAGGTGTATGTATTTATGTTATACTCAGGACCTCTGCATTTTATTATAAATGTCCTTCATTTAAATCATACCTATAATTGTCAAGTTTTTACCTACAAAAGGAATCTAAGCTATAATTACTACTCTTTTCAAATCAAAGGCTTTCCTCAGCCTGAGCAAGTGACATCTTCATGCATCTCGCTGTTCAGTCAGAAATTAGAGGGTGATTCTTCCCCCCTCCTTCTCTGTCACCAAGTTCTGAAGGTACAGCTCTAAAACGTCTCAACTCCACTCACTTCTCCCCCTCCAGAGTCACCACCATAGTTCAGCCACTGCCAGTTTGCTCTTGATCCAATGTAGTATCCTCCTAACTGGTCTCCAATTTCCATGTGGTAACTGGACCTCAGAGTTCTTTAATGCATTCTCACTGACCTCAGAATAAATTCTAGAATCTTTAACAGGACTCCCACATACCCTCTTACAACCTCCCCTAATGGCAGCAACCCACCCTTGCACCATTTGGCCCTCCACGCTCCTGCCACATGACCCACTTGTAGTGTCCTGCAGGTCAAGACCTTCCATGCCTCAGAGGTCTCCTTAATGCTATTCTCTCAGCCTGGAAGATTCTTCCCTCCACCCATCAACTGACTACCTTCCACTCCAACTTCCCATTTCAGAGGCTCCTAAGTTACTTCTTCAGGGTATTCCCTGCAATCCCTAGCCAGCCCACCCCCAGTGATTTCTTGTCTCATCACAATTTTCACTTACATCTTTACTGGTGTGCCTGTATAATGTTCGGACTAAGATCCATGATGACGGTGAGAGCAGTTAATGTTTCCTAAGGGCATATGATACACCAGTATTGAGTGAAACACTTTACACATTACCTCCTTTCATCTGTGTAATGACCCAAGGGGAGTCCTGGGATATCAGTCACCCCATTTACATAGAATCAGGGAAAACGAGGCACAGAGTGCTAGAAATCACAAATATATGATTTGACAGTAGGCAGTGGGACAGAAGGACCAGCGCCACCACACTGTATCAACTCCCACAAAACACGAATGAGCCGTCAACTCCAAAAAGGGTGGAGTCCTTCACCTTGCTGTGAAGCAGGGTGCTGCCTGGAGCCGTTCCAAGGTATTTAACAGGGCCTGCCACACGCTCCCGCACATGTCTGGCTAATGGAAAACATGGGGGCTCTTCAATATGTTTAGAGTAGGGAAATCTATCCAGTATTTGCTAAGGTAAGAAATCATTTTTTTTAGTACCATATATATGACTTCATTATTGTTCCAGATTTGAGAATAAAAAAAATTATGTCATTGGTATCACAAAGTCAAGTTTTGCCTAACTACTGTCTCCTTATCCTGCAATTATTTCAAATTAATGAGGCTCCCAATTAATAATTTTCAAGTTATTATGAGGCTGAGGATACAAAAAACATAAATAAAATCCAGAAAGCTACACAGAAAATTCATCAAAGAAAGTGGGGGGTGTAAAATTAGTATTACTGTGGGGTACCTGGGTAGCTCAGTTGGTTGGTTATGCTCTTGTTTTCAGGTCAGGTTGTGATTTCAAGGTCATGAAATAGAGCCCCACACCAAGCTCCATGCTCAGTGTGGAGTCTAAGACACTCTCTCTCCCTCTGTTCCTCCCACTCCCACCCAATTCACTCACGCTCTTGCTCTCTCTAAAATAAATAAATCTTTAAAAAAATTAATGTATTGGGCAGCCCCGGGGGCCCAGCGGTTTAGCGCTGCCTTCAGCCCAGGGCCTGACCCTGGAGACCCGGGATCGAGTCCCATATTGGGCTCCCTGCATGGAACCTGCTTCTCCCTCTGCCTGTGTCTCTGTCTCTCTGTCTCTCTCTCTCTCTCTGTGCCTCTCATGAATAAATAAAATCTTTTAAAAAAATAATGTATTGAAAACATATACAATATTCTAATTATATTTTTAAGTTCCTTCACCCGACAAACGTCTATCAAGCACCTCTATGTGTCAGGCACTGCTCCAAGAGCCAGGAACAAAACTGTCCAAGTCCCAGTTCTGATGAAGCCGGCATTCTAATACCAGGACAGTTATGGGAACTATGTCAGATGCAAAGAAGTATTATGCAGAAAAATGAAGTCAGGCAAGGGGGTGAAGAGTAAGGCACCAAAACGTGCCCACTCGTACCATTGAGCAGTATGCGGCCTTAATGGGAAGGAAACTGACACACGCCGTAATATGGGCAAACCCCAAAGACATCCTGCTGGTTAAGTAAAGCTGGTCACAAAAGTACAAAGACTACATGATTCCACTCATGTGAGGTCTTTAGAGTACTCAAAATCATGGGCACAGAAAGTAGTAGAATGGTGGTGGCCAGCGGCTAGTGGGAGGAGGAAGGAGGGCATGCAACTCTGGATCTCAGGGCCTTGAGTCCAAGCCCCGTGTTGGCAGTAGAGATTACTTAATAAACTTAAAAAAAAAAAGAGGAAGGATCCCAGAGGTATGTCATAGCATGACCTCTTCCCCCTGCCACCCTCTCCCTACCTCCAGAAAGAAGAGTTATTATCACACCCATTTTCTCAAGAAAAAGGTGAAAGGACTGCCCAAGTTCATACCTGGCGACTACTCAATTCTGAATCTTATTAATTGAGCATTGACGAGAAATACAGGACAAAGATCAGGACATAATTTTAACTAGGAAAAAAAAAAAAAAAAGGAGAGAATGGTGCCAAAGCTAATGTATTTATTTAACGTGGTAAATTATTGGATTTAATCATCACAACATTTCTTCATGATAAAGTTTCAAGAATTTTTTCTCGTATACATTACCTTCCTGAAACCACCAGAGTTCCATCATCAAGTAAATAATCCTTCACATTCTGAGGAAGTGGAAGAATGACACTAAAAACAAAAATTAAAAAAAAAAAAGCATTTACCAAAAAGGCATCATTTTAAAAAGCCCAACCATAAGCAGAGAGAAAAAATTCCAAACCCAATTAATTTATTACTTGTTCCCTTTATGTTTACTATAAAGTGTGAAATGTTAATGATACACATTTGGTAACAGCACACTAAAAATTAGAATAATATGAATAAATCTTGTGGTAAACTAACTGCAACTCATGTATTACCACAATCAGGGTCAAGAAACAAAACCAGTCAAATCCCAAGAACCATAAAATTACAGCACAAAAGGCAGAAGCTCAAGAGTGTGAGTACCCGTGTCTTTAAGAAATCAGACACCAGCAGATATTTGCAGCAACACAGGAAATGCAGCAAACAAAGGAGAAAGAGCATCTGACCATCTTCTTAAGACAGAGGGCAGAGGCAGACTTAAGATTTGGAGACCATTCTTTGGCTGGCAATGCGCACAAGAGGCTAAGAATTCATGATGTGTCTGGATGAGTTGGGGTGGCCTGCCATAAAGCTGCTTTAGTTTAATTCATTTCAGATAATTAAGGGACGGTAAAGCCGTACCTGGAAGTCACTTCAAAATCTCATGGGATCATTTGTTTTTTTTTGCTCTGTGATCATAAATCATTAAGCAATTCTGCTATTGTAATGCTATCACTTTGAGGCACATATTCTTTAAACAATAAAAAGAAATGATGGCCTGCTTAGATAGAGGTACGAGAACACCATCGACTTACGCATCATTTATTTATTTTCTGGCAAATTAAAAATGGCTTCTGTGCATAGAAAACATTATTTGTGGGCTATTTCAGTTTTAAAGACTAATATCTGATTTATCAAATTTACAATTTCACATTCAAAAGTCTAGTTCTTCAGGCTTTCGAGGTCAACTATCAGATCTTCCTATTCTATTTGTAAATCTGCTAAGTTTTAAACAATTTGAAGTGAGCCTTTGAAACTTAAAAGTTGCTCTAGAATTTTTAATTCTGTTATCAAGAGAACCTATTCAATTTTATTTTTAAATATTTCAGTTGTCTAATCACAAATAAGCCTTCCCAAATACTTAACTTATAACCAAGCCAGCAAACTAAAGCCTAAGTGCAATCTAAAGCTCTTGCGCACATTCCAATAGTATCTTAAAACTTGAAAGTTTTCTTACTCATTTTCCAAGAGAATTTTTGAGGTTTACCTTCTCAGGAGCCTGAGTCTGAGAAATGCTGGCAGAGATGCCAGTTCCTAGACATCTAGGCTGGTATTCCCAACCACGATGAGAGCACACAAGCCCTCTTTTCTGGTAGTCATGTCTCTAAGTCCCCAAATTGATCATTTCAGAGTCCACATCCCTTGTTTTGAGTTACACTAATTCTCAGGTCTGATTTGAACCTGGACTTTCCCCCTCCGGGTGGCATCAACCCTGACTGGATTCAAAACAACTGTTTACTGTTGGATTCTATGCTGAATTCTTTGCATATTCTTTCTGCTGGAGGGTCTTCAACTCTTAAAGATAGTGGCTGGCGTGGAGTTAAGATTCTGCTTACTTCTCATGGATCACTGAGTTCTACAGTCCCAGTTCTGAAGTCATCCTAATGAGGGTATCGTGCATTAAGTTATGCAAGTCAAGGAGAATACCCAAGTGGTTCCATTAAGAGTGCAAAGCCTATGAGGGGGAAAAATACAAAAGAAAAAAAAAAAAATCACAGGACAGCAGCATGTTAGGTGTTGTCCCAGGTGAGGAGGTATGTACCAAGGGCTACCAAATTCGGAAGAAGAGGAACTGTGCCTGAAAGACTGGGGGCCATAAACAAGTCATTGCCAGGCAAGCTCTACACAAAGCTAGTGAGGCTGTCAGAGAAGAATTTAGTTCGGTCTTGAAACACAAGTACAGGTGAGAATACAATGAGGCCTGACTGATGTAAATGAATTAAGTGACAAAGTACTTATCTCATTCTATAACCTGTTCAATACCTTATATATCCGACACCCTATTCCATATCCCATTCAAGTGAATGTAATTACATACATATGGACAAGTTATTCTGATAAAATTTTTGAGGTAAAAAGAGGCTTTAAAGGATTATTTAATATAGCCTTTATGTTTGAGAAAAGTAACAGATTTAGAAAGGTAAAGGGGCCCAAAGTCATCTAGCTCATGATTCTTAAGCCTGAGTCAAAATTCCAGAACTTGTCAAAAAAATAAACTTGTATTCTTATCCACCTAATCATTTTTTGAACCGTGATTAATAAACACTGAAAAATAATGCTGAGTCAGTAACAAGAAAATGATCTCAGCATTAAAGCTGACAATGACAATGACAAAGCTAATACAGCTCCCACCGCATTGGCCCGGTTGTGCAGGGATATCCTGGCACGTATTTGGATCCAGTGATATGACCGCACAACTAAACAGACTAAAGAAACAGTTTAAAGACAGAGTCAAGAACAGAGTCAGGAAACATGGCTTAGTTGTGGGCTCTACAGAAAATCCCACCTCTTGCTTTATCTGTCATTCTGAGCTTCATATGAATGGTACACATTCTAAATGAACCAAAATTATTTTGCTTCCAAAGAGCTTTGATTAAATCCAAAATGTAAAAATGAGAGGCTCCCCGGAGTGGCTCAGCAGTTGTGCGCCTGCCTTCAGCCCAGGGTGTGATCTGGAGACCCAGGATCGAGTCCCACGTTGGACTCCCTGCAAGGAGCCTGCTTCTCCCTCTGCCTGTGTCTCTGCCTCTCTGCCTCTCTCTCTCTCTCTCTCTGTCTCTCGTGAATAAATAGAAAAAAAAAAAAAGTAACAACAGGCAGCGTCTCCATGTGTTTATTACATGCCAGAAACTGTGGCAAGCATTATAAACGTCCCATCTAATTCCCATGACAATCCTATTATTTTCTCAAATTTCCAGACGGGGCTTAGAGAGATGAAGCAATTTGCTCAAGAAGCAGGGGGAACCAAAATTCAAAGCCAGACAGAGGGCCCTGATTCCAGGATCCAGTTCTTGAACCGCTATCCTCTGCTGGAGGGGAAGGCCAACTATGCCAGAGGTCACACAAGGCACCTGCAGAGAGTTGCAGGTCAGTTCACGTGAACTCAGTGTGAAACGTCTGACAGGTTCACAAACACCCCTTCAGTCACACCAAAGCAAATAACTCATCGTGTCAAACTCAAAGCCTACTTCAATTATACGAGGTAACAAAGGACTGGATTATCGTGAGGGCAGATCACTTCTCCATTCGCGTGTAATGTCCACTGCTGCTGCTGAAGCCCCTCCTTTCCTTTTGGCTGCACTCCAACTGCCTTCAAATGCAAAGATTATCTTCCTTTGAGCTGAGCTGCTCTAACCTCCACCTGGGAGCACACTCTATGTACGAATAACAGGACGGAGAAGAACCGCCGTCCTTTGAGTAATCTCCTTATGCCCTCAGGATTTCACAACCGTTTCCCTCGGGGGGACGCCTGGGCGGCTCAGCGGTTGAGCATCTGCCTTTGGCCCAGGTCATGACCCGAGGGTCCCTGGATGGAGTCCCACGTCGGGCTCCCTGCATGGAGCCTGCTTCTCCCTCTGCCTGTGCCTCTGGCTCTCTCTGTCTCTGTGTCTCTCATGAATAAATAAATAAAATCTAAAAGAAAAAAAAAAAAACCTGTTTCCCTCTCCCTATTCACACACTGCACCAAGAGGCCTAAACGGGAAAAGGACAGTTGGTCTATAAATACCTGCTCCTCTGAGTGGCCTAAAGGGGAAGCGGGCAAGTTACAGAAAAATCCTGTCCGTGAACGCGCACTTCTTTGATCTCTGCCTCCTCCTGCGTGGAAGCCTGCTCCTTCATCATCCTCCGGATGGAACGATCGCCCTGGAACACTTCTTCAGGCTATTGCAGCCGCCTTGCCTCTCTTTACCTTGAACGGCCCGGGGCAGGCTGACACAGTTACTCCTCGGCCCGCCTGCAGACCCAGGCCGGCTTCCCCGCTGGAGGCCAGGGGACCAAGTCTGCTCCGAGTCTGCTCCGCTCCTTGTCCAGGCATGGCTCCCGCTCGCGGTGCTTGCTTGTCCCCGCGCACCCCGCGCACCCCGCACCCCGGAGGCCGGGCGCCAGGAAGTCCCCCGCGAAGCCACGTCTAGGGGCGGCGACGCGGACCCCGGGCCTCAGCCCGCTCAGTCCCCGCGTCCCCCGCCTCTGACCTTCACGGCCCCGCGAACGCCCCGCTGCGTCCCGCGGCGCAGCCCCCGGAACGCCGGGGCCAGCCTCCTCCGCCCCCGCCCCTGAAATCCCACCAGCAACTCGGAATCTCCGCACCCGCGCTCCCATCCAATCGCTCTCAGGCCTGCTTTTTTTTTTTGGGGGGGGGGGCGGAATGGAGCTAAGACTCGCCCCAAAATGTCGCAGTTCCCCATCGCCGATCGCCCCGGCGCAGCCCCTCCGCGCTCACCTCTTGATAGTAAGGCTTCGGAACAGGGGGTACCACGCCGAGAACTGACAGCGCAGCACATGCTCCTTCTTCATCCTCCTGCCGCCGCCGCCGCCGCCGCCGCCGCTCCCTCTCCTTCCAAGCCCCCTCCCGGAACCCACGTCTCCCGTCCCGGAAGTCGCCGCCGAGCTGTTTTGGCTCAAGCACTCTTCCGGTCCGTCAAGGAAGGCGGTGGTAGCGGGAACGCGAGCGAGGACGCTCGTGGGGCGTCCTTTCACGAGCGCGTCGGACGCGCGCACACACACACACACACACACACACACACACACACGCGCGCGCGCGCGCGCGGCTCGGGAAAGGAATTCCGGAAGTGGCGAGGAGGAGGGACGGGGGAGGGGGATGCTGAGCCGCGCACCGCCCCGGAAAGTGATTTCCCCAGGCGGGGTTGAGGGCGGGGCCTCTACGGGAGCCGGGAGGGGCCGAGGGCGCTCCTCTCGCCACCGCGAGGTGCGGCTGTGCCTGAAGCGGCAGCATCGGGTCTTCGGAGGCTGCTGCCTCGGGGTCGCGCTTTCTTCTTTCGTCCGGGTCCCCCGAGGAGTGCCCTGCGCTTCACGCCGCGCCTCGGGGTAGGCACGTGGGCGCGGGCCCCCGGCTTGAGGGGAGGGGGCGAGGGCGGACCGCCGCGCGCGTGTCCCCGTCTGCGGAGCGGGCTCCGGGGACCCGGGGGGGGGGGCGGGGGGCTCCGGGGAAACCCGAGCCCGGGAGGGGTGCGGCGGGAGGGCGGGGCTGCTCGGAGCGGAGAGAGCGGGGAGCGCCGCGGTGACCCGTTGGTGCAGCGCGGTGCTGGGAGCATCTGCTACCGGGGGGCGGGGGGGCCGCCTCTGGGTTCGTGGAGGGAGAGACGGAATCGTGGCCGGACGCTCCTGAAATTGGGGGGAAACCGACGCAGGAGGAGAGGCGCCTCCGTTGAGCCTAGGAACCCTGTGTCCCAGCCCTGCCGGACCAGCAGCCTGGAAGCCTGCGGCCGGACTGCCCGCCCGTGTCGCCGGGCCGCGAGGCTGCATTCCCGAATCCTACTCCAGGCAGGTTTGCAAATTTGCACGATCACTTATAAAAAAAAAAAAAAAAAAGGCTCTTTTCTCCATCACTCCGTCGTGACGTATCAGAGGGCGAGCAGACCCGTAGAATCGTAGAAGCGTCGAAAAGTTCACTTCTGTGCGTGCGCGTCTTCCGAAGAGTGGGATGCTGGCTGCCGAGAAGGACGCCTCTGCCACCCGGCCTCGCTTGCTGCGGCCGCGCCGTCCCAGTCCCAGTCCCAGTCCCAGTCCCAGTCCCAGTCCCAGTCCCAGTCGGGGCTGTGTCCGCCGAGGGCGCACGTTATTTTTAGGGACCTCGTTGAAAAACCTGCACACTGGCAGGGTCCGTGCCGGCGGTTGTAGGTTAGGTGGAGGTGGGAACCTGCACGGACAACAGGCCTCTTCAAAAAAAAAAAAAAAAAAAGATTGGTGAGGATAATTGCAGGCTCCTCTGCCTTTTTTTTTTTTTTAAGATTTATTTATTCTATTTATTTATGATACACACACAGAGAGAGAGAGGCAGAGACACAGGCCGAGGAAGAAGCAGGCTCCATGCAGGGAGCCTGATGTGAGCCTGGATCCTGGATCCTGGCATCATGTCCTGGGTGAAAGGCAGATGTTCAACCACTGAGCCCCCCGGGCGTCCCTAACTATTCGTTTTGATTTGACCTAGAAATAAACAGGTTGCTGCTGGAGGAAAATGCTAGCACGGATGGGGTGCATGGAAGCAAGGCTTTTTTTTTTTTTTTTTTTTTCTGTTGAAGATAAGAATTGATGGGTGCATAGAAGATTAAGTAGCAACTGGGACTATAGTCCTTCTGGGAGGAGTCCTCTGTTTAACGGCCCAGGAAACGAGTTGCAGAGGTTGAGGCAGCTGTGAAGCATTAATACAGAACTGGTTATTTGTAGAGAAGCAGCCAAGTTTGTAGACTTAAAACACTACAGGGAGTGAATTTGTTACAGATGTCTGTTCCTCGGGCTCTACGTACACTTTGGAAGTGGTGAGTTCGTGGCTTTTTTTTTAGTATTACGGTTGATTTTTAAGTTGACTAGCTACACAGTTTACACAGTTTAGTAGTCCCAAATAAATCAACATTACAAACACGCTCCAGTATTTTGAATGGACGCAGCTAAATTCCCTTCGATTATTCTTTTAGCCACCGTGTTTGTCTTTTCACTTAGCCAATGAAGTGTTTATACTCGTTTCTTCGATAAAACCTTTTACAACAGTGGAAATAGTCGCTTTTTCTCACGCAGGCCTAAAGATACCAGTAGCTAAGTGACTGTGGGGGAGGGGCTTTATTGTACGATTCCAAATTAAATAATGAAGAAACCTTTCCGTCTCTGAATCCCAGAACGTGACTAATGTGTCTAAATTAATACTTCCGTCTGCCTGCTGGTTTTATCCACCTGGATGTCTTACCAACATCTCTAACTCAGCGTGTCCATATTTGAACAGTATACTACCCCTTTCTCCTGATGTCCCAATGTCCTTTAAGAACATCTCCTTGGAATTAGCTTTGAAAACCCCTTCCCTAGACACTGGTTTGAGACAAGTAATAAAGTTTCATGTGCAAGGAGTTAAGTCTGTTTCCTTGCCACTGCTACCACCCTGGACCAAACCTTTGGTATCTCTTGCCTGGGCTATTGCAGGAGGTTCTTTACTGTGTCATTACTATAGGACTGTAACCAATTAGCCTTCCCAAGGGTAATTAGTTCACAGCCCAAACTAAATGTAATGATCATAAATCACCAAGTAGTGTAATTTCAGTAAAACATTAGTTCCCTCTCTGCTCCCCCAAACCCCTCATCTGCCGGAAAAGAAAAGAAACTCCGTGGCTTTCCATAATTAACAAATTACAGGAAGTCTTGATTATCTGAGGATAATTGTCAGTAAAGGAAAATTCACTTAAAGTGGATCCATCTGATGTGGATACCAAACTTGCACCGTAACAAAAGAAGGAATGATCAAAATACCTTTTTATTTTTTTCAAAATACCTTTTTAAAAAAAACTAATTTTTTAAAAGTTTTATGATTATAACCAAGGCTATTAAATGTAACTATACTAATTGATTACTTGTTCATTATAAGTCATTATAAGGCTTTTCTGTGTAATTATTCTGAAAGAATATGGAATGGCATCATAGGCCTCGGCATTTGATGCTTGACTTTACACAGTCATAAAGTTATTTTTGCAAATATTAATCCTTTCCCGCTTAATTTCTTTCAAAATGCCTTATTGGAAAGTTCTCAATCCAATTATTAACTGTTCCAAGTGCCTGACCTTGGTCAATCAGAAGCTTCGCTTATGATTTGAGCCTCTGCACCTTTTATTCAGTCAAACATGAATGATGTTTACAATACTCAACTTTTACTTGGGAAAGAGTTACCAACATGTTATATCTTGTGATTTGTGCTATACTTTGCAATCTCAGTAAACTGCAGGGATTCCAGTATGGTAATAACTTAATGAGAAGGCTGAGTGCAAGCTCCCCCTCCCACTTAACCTGAATCCAGGGGTTGTTACTAATACTGAAATACCCAAGATTGTGAAAATGTAACTGTTTCTCTTCCTCCCTTCAGTGGAAAATTGTAAGTGCTATCCCCAAGAGAAGCTCACATAGTAACAAGAGCTTGTGGCATGCCACTTGGAGTTGTTGGGTGCTTTCTTTGCCCTGAAATTTGGAGGAAGGAGCAGATGTCCAGCTAAATCTGTGTTAGCCCTTGAAAATGTGTTTGCAGATGTTAATTTTTTTTTTTTTAAGATTTTATTTATTCATGAGAGACACAGAGAGAGAGAGACACAGGCAGAGGGGGAAGCAGGCCCCATGCAGGGATCCTGATGTGGGACTCGATCCTGGGTCTCCAGGATCAGGCCCTGGGCCGAAGGGGGCACTAAACCGCTGAGCCACCCGGGCTGCTCTGCAGACGTTAACGTAGTCCATTATATGGTAGTTTGTTTGCAGGGTTTTTTTTTTTGTTGTTGTTGTTGTTGTTTTGGAGAGGGTGGGAGGGAAAGGTTGACGACCACAGAGCTTGCCAAACTCTATTGTAATTTCTTAACCCTTCCCCTATTAGTGTCTGTTTTTCATGTGGTTCTACGTGAAATGCTTTCCCTGACTTTTTGGTATCTAAATCATATCTTAATATGAAATGGTTTCTTGGTAGTAGTAGCCTTTTCACAGTCTGCTACTTTCCCTGCCTCCCAAGTGGATGTGATTTGTTGTTCACTTACACTCTGGTATTGCGTTATCTCTATAATAGGCATTTACCTTTCTGGTTCTTTGTGAGTTGAACTATGAGGTCCCCAAGGGCAGGGTTACATTGTCAGTTTGCATTTAGTGTGTGTACGTATGTATGTGTGTATGTATGTGTACTCAAACATGTGAACTGCCCATGTTCATAGAGCCAGTTAGCCTCCTGCCTACCACTGTATGTCATTTCTAAGAATCCTGTGATGTTTTCCCTCACAAAAGGTTTTGGTGCCCTGGAAAAATCGTACAGTACACATCATAGACCTTCAGTGTTCAAACCAAACTAAAACCACATAAAACAGATTATGTGAGTTAAAACAGTAGAACACGTTAGGTACACAGGTATTCTTTGAAGTATAACACACATATTAGCAGCCTAGCAGCAAAATGTAGATGACTTGAAATTCTAGCTAATGAGGTGGATAAAATTTACATTACACTTTACTTTTAAATCTAAAAATAGCGTTGAGTCAGCTCAGGAGAACTCTATCACAGTAACTGAGACAAGGGTGCAGCATGCAATGGAGCCTTGTTTCTTTTTTTCTGCACTGCCTTACTTGTAGGGACTGGTCCCCAAATGGCACCACTTAGCTTCTGGTTTTGAAATGGTGCTAGAAATAATATTCTTTTTCTGTTTCAGTAGTATTTTTTATTTTTTAAAAAAATATTTTTAGGGATCCCTGGGTGGTGCAGCGGTTTGGCGCCTGCCTTTGGCCCAAGGCGCGATCCTGGAGACCGGGGATCGAATCCCACGTCAGGCTCCCCACATGGAGCCTGCTTCTCCCTCTGCCTGTGTCTCTGCCTCTCTCTCTCTATCTCTCTCTCTCTATGCTAAAAATATTTTTTTTTAATTTTTTTTATTTAGTTATGATAGTCACAGAGACAGAGAGGCAGAGACACAGGCAGAGGGAGAAGCAGCCTCCATGCCCGGAGCCCGACCTGGGACTCGATCCTGGGTCTCCAGGATCACGCCCTGGGCCAAAGGCAGGCCCTAAACCGCTGTGCCACCCAAGGATCCCTCAGTAGTATTTTTTAGATGATTTTATAATCCCGAACATTTTGCGAATCACAGAATAAAGAATATACCTTTGAAATCACCCTTTAACCACATTTTTGGGTTATTTACACTGTCAGCAGATTGCTACAAAATACCGTTGCCTCTGGGGGCTGATTGCATTCCAAGTAATTACCCTGGAGAGGCCCAGCCCCGTTTGCTACTTTCTTTCTTTTTTTGTAATTTATGTCTGTAGTTTTTTTGTCTTTCTAGCTCTCTAACATGCTACCTTAAATATTTT